GAACTGGAGCCCATATGGGATCCTGATGCATGCCTCTAGGTTATCGCACCAGGCTCAATAGATCTACCTTTTCAAGAAAAATAAATAAAAATCTTTTTAAAAATCCAATTTGGCAATAAAACAAACCCAGTGGCTTGGAAGAAACGCAAGGACTGCTTCCTTACCCTACACCCTCCCCACCCCACCTTTTGTTTGTTTAGGAAAGTAGACAAGCAAAAATATGAAAGGCAAAATCATCAATCTCCAAATAATCTGATTTATAATTATTAACATTTTAGAGTATATATGTTCACTCTTTTAAATAAATATTTATGTATAAAAGATAGCATCATTCAAAAGGACTCTTTAACTTCTATATTCCCAACCCCCCGTTTCTCACTGCTTTGCTGTCCCCAGAGGACACTGTTACTATTATGAGCAGGAAACCATGCCAGTTAAAACTGGCATTGGAGCTACACAGCTCTTTGTACCAGCAGTTTGCATAATGGGGTGTGCAAACCAAGGGACCAAGGTTATGGGTGTGTCTGCATCAATTATTTGAACAGTGCAGAGCCTGAGTTTAGTTTATCCAGTGGGCAGGCAGCTCCCCAAGTTCAAATTCCCTCCATAGATATTCAGTAACTATCTTCTATAGCGGATATAAATAGGGTCATGTCAGGGTCAGGACCTGTGTATGCATTTCTACCTCCGTCTGCAATTAAGATGAAATGTCTGTGTGCCTTAAGTGTCTTTTGATAAGGAGACTGTCTCAGCACCATCCAAGAGGAGGAAGCGGATGTGTGGTGAGCTGAAGTCATTCGCTTTTGACTTGGCCGTAAGTATATTCCACAGGAGAAAACTTCCTCATTCCCTGAGAAGTTAACTCTGCATCAGACCACAGAGAGCCAGCCCTGTATGTCTTCCCAGACGTCCCTTGCCAGTCAGCATATACTGTTATTGTTATCCATCACCATGAAACAAACCACCCTGAAACCAAGCAGCTGAAAGTAAACTGCAGGCTTCCACAGTTCTTTGGGTTGACAATGCTCAGATCTTTTGTAGGTCTTATTTGAGTCCCTTAGAGGTAGTTCCTGAAAGCTCCTGGTTTTGGGGTTCCTGGGCCCTGGTTAGAGGCGCTCCTAGATGGCCTTTTCATTCCCATGTCTGGTGACCTGGTTCACACAGTCCCTCTCTCTGGACTCAGAGTTTCATCCTCCTTGGCTGCTTTCTAAAGTCTTTCTATCAAGAGTAGCCCAGGACCCAATGGCGTGGCCTAGCGGCTAAAGTCCTCGCCTTGAACGCACCAGATTCCTATGTGGGCACCGGTTCTAATCCTGGCAGCCCTTCTTCCCATCCAGCTCTCTGCTTGTGGCCTGGGAAAGCAGTGGAGGATGGGCCAAAGTCTTGGGACCCTGCAACTGCGTGGGAGACCTGGAAGAACTACTGGCTCCTGGCTTCGGATCGGCACAGTACCAGCCGTTGTGGTCACTTGGGGAGTGAATCATTGGACGAAAGATCTTCCTCTCTGTCTCTCCTCCTCTCTGTATATCTGACTTTGCAGTAAAAAAAAAAAAATCTTAAAAAAAAAAAAAGCAGTAGTCAGAATCTCTCAAGATTGGTCCACTCCAAGGGTATAACATGGACAGCTGTCCAGCATTTTTTCTGCTTTGGCTAAGACCTGGAAGGGTGCCACTTTTAAAACTCCTTCTTTATGCTAAACTAAACCACAGGGTCAGCCTTGATCGGATGTGCAGTGACTACACAAACACCTTAGTATATACAGAGGTCAACTCCATGGGGGTGTCACCTTTAGTAAGTTGCTACCCAACAGACTGCACAAGGTAGGATTTCAAATGTAATCGAAAAAGATTCTAAACACATTCTGGCCCCAACACCAAGGAAAATCAAGGGGAAGTGGGAGTAGGAGGAAGAAGCCTCAGGTGGTGGAGGTTTTGAAGGAGTCAATACTTTTCTCAGGTCTCGGAGGACGCAGGGATGAATCAGTGCATCCCCATTGCTAGCTGTGTGCATTCACGCAGCCTCATCCGGAGGCTTCTCCACTGGGAACTCTGGACAAGGTGCTCCAAGCCGGACACAGCTCAAGCCAGGACAGGGGTTGTCTTTAGCAAAGAACACAGACAACAGTGAAAATGTACACAAGTCAGTAGAATGTGAAAACAATAGAGGTGGGGAAAAATAAAAACAGCTTGGGGGCCAGCAGAGTGGAGTAGTAGGTTAAGACTCAGATTGGAATGCTAGCATCCCACATGGGACCCAATTCAAGTCCCAGTTGTTCCACTTCCCATCCAACCTCCTATTGATGGGCCTGGGAAAGCAGTGGGGAATAGCTCATGGCTTTGGGCTCCTGCACCCTTATAGGAGACCCCGAGAAAGCTCCAGGCTTCGGCAGTTCCAGCTCTAGCCATTGCAGCCACTTGAGGGGTGAACCAGTGGGTGGAAGACCTGCCTGTCCTTCTCGCTGTAAATCCACCTTTTTTAATTAAGAAGAGCAGCTTGGACAGCCTGGTAGTCACTAGGCTCCCGTAGTTCCTGGACAGGCGAGCAAATCTTGCCTCCTACTCCTGTGAGGCTACTTTTTAAAAATTTAGTTGTAATTATTCATTTGTTTGAAAGGCAGAGAAGTCTTCCATGCTCTGATTCCTCAAATGGCTACAACAGCCAGAGCTGCTTTCCACTGCTTTCCCAAGCACTTCAGCAGGGAGCTGGGGACTTAACTGGTCAGCTGTGCTACAAACCCCACCCCCAACTTCTTAACAATATCTTAGCAGTGTTTGTCCTTCCACAACACAATCTGCAAGTTTAAAGGGCAGGGGCAGGCCAGCCCTTCCAGGAAAACACTGCATTTCAGTGGTTCCAAAAACCAGAGAGCTCCTTCAAATGCATGGCCTGAGACTGAGCTTCCCTGGGCTGACCGAGCCATGGTTCAATGTCACACAGCTTCTCCCTAATGTTTATTTTCCTTGAACATGGCCAGACTCTTATCATCACTGCTCTCCTCCCTTTGAAAATATGTACTCTACAGGTGCCTGAAATAATATACTCCCAGTAAATTGCAGTTTTGCAAAAGCAATCGTTATTTCACTCGGTCTAGAGCCAATGAAACTTGGGTTGCTTAACGAGGAAATGTCAAATATGTTATAAACTCCTTGAGGAGTGTAGCCGTATCACAAACGACCCTGGCTTCTCCTAAGCCGGGTAGGAGACTGTCTGCTTCCCTGCTCTGGCAGTTTTTAATAAGTAACTAGAATTGTGACCAATACACTCCTGTCTCCATCTTTGAGGCAGAACATCCTTTCGCCACACTGCCTCTGTATCTTTCACGGCAGATTCATTGTACATAATTTCACCCAAGCCTGAGTTCAACCTGCAGATCGTTTTGCAGGCTTGTAACACAATTTCATTCAAGTTGAAGAAGTCTGCTTCCTTCACAACTCTTTATTTTGGCTTCACTATTGTCAAGGAATATTTGAACACAAAGATTTACACGTAAGTTGTGGATTACTACATGACTGCCACCAAGATACTGTGGCACAACCGACAGAGCCACCACTGTGGCACCTGTGAGTGTCCTGGCTCCTGCACCACCTAGCCAGCTCTCTGCTAATGGCCTGGGAAAGTAGTGGAGGATGATACAAGTGCTTGGGTTTCTTTACTCACAAGAGCTACCTAGAGGAAGCTCCTGGCTCCTGGCTTCAGACTGCAACTCTGAGTTTTTGGTTTTTGGGGGTAACCTGCTTTTGGAAGATTTGTTTTACCTCTGGAACCCTACCTTTCAAATAAAATAAATCCTGAAAAGAAAAGAAAAAGTAAGTTCTTTGCAGTTTGGAGGTGTTTTTTATCTGCCTCTCCCCCCCACCCCCCAGGTTTCTCCTGGTTTTGCCTAATTCCAAGAAGTCAAAAAGTGAGTCTTAGAGGGTTGGAGGAAGATTGCTAACGCCTAAGACCGCGTGCGTGACCAAAAAAATAAAAATAAAAATCTACCCTCCTAAATCTTTTATGAAAGAATTCACAATATTCGTGTTTTCAAATTCTTGAGATTTTCTGTGACGAGTGATTAATTTTAAAATGCCTTGAAGTAGAAAATGTGTCCATTGGGAATGGAAAACATTTGAAATCACAAACAGAAGGATAAAAATCAGTCGCGACCCTACGGCTTCTCTGGGCAGATGTTTTCATCAAATGGGCTCTTCCTGTACCCAGCATTGTATAGCTCGGTGGCGTCCCCCTTTAACAACATCGCAGACACGTCTAGGAAAAAAAAAAAAAATAGATTACAGCACATCGTGGCATCCCACCGCGGACCGGCGATGCGGTCCGGACGATCCCGACCCCTCTGCTGCCGTTTGCCCTTGGCAACCCGAGCAAGCGCAGGAGGGGAAGTGGAGGCCGTTCAGGGTCAACGCGAGCACGAGTTCCCCGCATGGTCCACACCTCCCCGGCAGGGCGTCGGGCCCCAGCCCCGGAGGGGCCCCAAGGCCAGAGGGCAGCCGGCGCTGCGCCCAGGCGCAGCCAAGCCTTGCTCTGTTCCCGCCCCGCGGGCTGGCGCCACTCGCAGGCGGCGCGGTGCGATAAAGCGGAGCAAGGTCCTGCTGCGCCGATGCCCGCGCCTCCGCAGCAGTGTTTGTTTCCAACTGTTTAAACTGTCTCAAGGCCCCTTTGGCAAACAACCCCTAATCCCTCCGGCGAGAGCGCGGTCCCTCCCACCCGCGGTCGGCCGGGCGGGCTAACGCCGGGAGTCCAGGGCCTCCGCTTGTGCATCCCGCCCGCCGGGACCCCAGCCGGCCGCCGCCCGGACCCGCCGCGAGCTTCTTGCGTCAGCCCCGGCGGGGGTGGGGAGTTTTGGGCAGCGCAGCCCGCGCGGCCGGCCCCAGAAGGAAGGGCCCCGGCTCTCGCCCCGCCCTCGGGGAGGAGGAGGAGGAGGCGGCGGGAGGCGGAGCGGCCCCGAACCTTGCCAGTAGTCGGGTCGTGTAGCTAAGCAGCAAGTGCCCGGGATCCCGGAGGAGCCGCCGCCAGCGCCGCGAGTGCCGCCCTGTCCGCGCCGCGCCTCCGGGACAGGGTCGCCGTCGGGAAGCCTCAGTACCGGGTTGCCCTGATTCAGCATGATGGACTTGGAGCTGCCGCCGTCGGGACTACAGTCCCAGCAGGTGCTGCCCGGGGTCGCGGGACGCCCCCGGTGTCGAATGCCGGGACAGGGACGGGGGCTGGGGCGCCCGGGGCGGCCAGGGAGGGACAGCTGGCTCCAGGACTGCAGCCGCTGCGTTTGCGCCGAGTCTGGGCGAGAAGGGACTGACCGCGAGGGGCGTGGGGTCCGGACCCACATCGTGCCCGCGACCCTCGAAGGCGACTGGTTTGGGGAGACACTCGGGTGTCGGCGCCCGCTCGGGAGCGCAGAACGGGTCCCTCTGCGCCCCGATCCGCTCCCCTCCCACGGAGATGGGACGCGGGGCACCGGGAGGCCCCCCGAGTCTGTATGGCTCCAGAGGCGACTGGCCAGAAGGGGTGGACGCTGGCGGTCCGAGCCGGCGCGGACCGGCCCTTCCGGGGCCGTGCGGCTCCCCCGCCTCGGAGCCGGCAAAAATGTGCCTAGTCACGGGGCCGCTCTCGGGGGAGCTGAGGTCTCCTCCGGGCTGGAGCCGGGAGCCCCTCCTGGCCGCCTGCCTTGGACCCCGGGGGCCCAGGAGCTCCGCGGGCGCGGGTGGCGGCGCGGCGCGCCCACCCCGCGGCGCCGTCCGTGCACGCTTGTTTGCAAAGTAATCAATCGGGCAGTCCATCGGCTCACTCTTTGGCAGTCACGAGCCGCAAGCCCAGCCCCCCTGGGGGAGGAGGAAGTCACGAAATGCCCTGGGCACCCTCCTGCCTGGACGTGCGGGGGCTCGGGGAGCAGACCTGCGCTCTGCCCCGGGGAGCAGCTGGTGCTGGGGACTCGAGCCTGGGCCCTGGCGACGCGGCAGGAAGTGCGGGAAGGGGCGTCGGGGTGTGCAGCTGCGGGTGCCCCGGCTGCGGGTGCCCCGGCTGCGGGTTCCGGGCGCGGTTCGTCGCGGCGGCTCGCGCCGCGTGGTGGCCTCGGCTGTCACGGCGGCCCTCAGTTGGCCCTTTCCTGCTCCGTAGCGTGCAAACCCCGCGCGCCCGGGCCAAGGGACAAGTTGGAGCTGTTGATCCTGTTGCGCAATTGTTATTTTCCCCCGGGCGGCTTTGTCTTTGGAATAAGCGTTTCAGAATTGCAATTCCGAAATGTTTAAGGCAGGATTTTCTGTTCTGTACTCTCAGGGGTAAGAGTGGCGGGCGTAGATTAGGATTTCTGTTGCTCTCAGGCTGTTCAACTTTTTTTTTTTTAAACTTGAGCTGTTATGTCTGCCTCGGGTGCTTTATCTGGTTTTCTTTTTCTGTTTGAGAATTGGCTTCATTTTCTTAGCATGTTCTCCCCTCTTGTAATTGCGGGGGGTGGCACACTTATGTTTCATAATACATCATTAGCGAGTTTTGTAAATAGTTCTAAAACTGAAAAAAGTTTCTGTTCACACATTGTAGGAGCTTTTCAAGGAGTCGACATTTATGTTTTCATCTTTTTTGGTTGGTTGGTTGGTTGGTTATTAGGTCTTTTTTAAAAAAACTATTCTTGGCAGTATGCTAATTGATAACTACAGTAAATGTCTCTGTACTTCATGAACACCCAGTTTTAGACCGATCTCCAAGATCCAACGTGAGGGTTTGAGTAGTGTAACGTACTTAAGAGCTGCTTGTTTTGAACTTTGCCCCAGTAATGACTGGTCGTCCTCTCCTGGTTCCTTCTAGAATGAAGCAGCAGCTTATCCTTTCTGACTTCCTTCTTTTAAACTGTAATTTATAGTGAAGCTAGTTTGACCAAAGAATATAGGATGCAAATAAACTTTGGTCTCTGTCTTGGCTGTACAGTATTGCCTTCCACACAAAAGTGCGTAAAATGTGGCTGCTGTTTGTTCTCAAATGCGAATTTCTCACTGCTGTGCGACCAAAACTAGGCACCATTTCACCGTTATCGTCACACATCAGTTTGTATCTGTCAAGGTGGTGAGAAAAACAAATGGAGCGAAGTTTACCAAAGGATCCAAAAGTTTCTTTGACCTTTTCCCACAGAAACAGGCCAGCTTCTGCCTGGAGGATGTGTCGGTGAGCAGGGCAGGAGGGAGAGCCAGATTCTCTGTCCTCTCCTTGAAGCAGCATCCATTAGTCCCCGCAAGGGTGTCTCGGAGAGATAAAGGAACTTTCATAGATGAGGGATACAGTCGATCTTGAACATTAAGATTATGTTTCAAAGATGAAGAAAAATAGAACAGGCCTCTGGTCTCCTGAATGAGTGTCAAGCAGAGAACAGGTTGATTTGAGATCCGTGAGACGTTTCTTGAGAGGTTGTGAAAGCAGCATCTAGGAGGACGGATGCCTGGCTCAGGGCAGCCTTTCCGCATTGAAAGTTACTTGGGCGGGCGGATGTGTGGCCAGGCAGTGAGACCGCCCGGGATCCCTGCTTGCGCACAGGGCCTGGGTCGCCAGGCTCAGCTCCTGCTTACACACACCCAGGGAGATAGCAGCTGATGGCTGGAGCAGACACCCAGAGGAGAGGCCTAGGTTGAGTCCCCACCTCTAGGCTTTGGTGTCCTGACCAGTCCATTTAAAGGGGGTTTTGCATAAAAAAAATCCTCTCATTTTGCCTTGAACCTGAGTTAATTGCGAGTAAGCAGGTGAAATTTGCATTAAGATGGTAATAGTTGAGTTATTGAGCACTTCCCTGCAAGTGATGATAATGGGCTAATTGCTTCATGTGCATGTTTTCACAGTAACCCCAGGGAAAATGCTACCATCTCCAGCTTCCAGGTTAGGACAAAGATCCAGTTCAAACCTAAGTAATACTTACTTACATGGGCTCAGTTAGTTAAACCTCAACAACTTTTTTTTTAAAGATTTATTTTATTTGTATTGGAAAGTTAGATATACATTTACAGAGAGGAGGAGAGACAGAGAGAAAGATCTTCCATCCTATGATTCACTCCCCAATTGAGCACAATGGCCAGAGACTTCCTCTGGGTCTCCCAAGTGGTTGCAGGGTCCCAAAGCTTTGGGCCGTCCTGGACTGCTTTCCCAGGCCACAACCAGGGAGCTGGATGGGAAGTGGAGCTGCCGGGATTAGAACCGGCGTCCATATGGGATCCTGGTGCGTTCAAGGTGAGGACTTTAACAGCTAGGCCATACTGCCGGGCCCTAAACCTCAACACCTTTTAAAAAGAGGATTAATTGGGGTCAAGGACTGTTGGCAGGAAAATGCATTTCCCATGTTCCAAGAGGGAAGAAGTAGGCCCTGGTGGAATTAATGTACAGAGCTGGAAAATAACATAGTAGTTGAAAAAAACTCCAGGGATTTCAGCAGTCACCAAGCTGCAGCCTCTTGTTTCTAGGAACACAGTTAAGTCTGTTAGCTTCTTGGGCCCCTTTGCCTTGGTTTGCCTTACTAGTTGGCACAGTTTCCTGTTCCACTGGCTCTTTTTATCTTGAAGCAGGCATTCAAGTGGGCGGCAGGCCTGGTAGTTAGAATGCCCACATCCTACACTGCAAATCCTCAGGCTGATCCCTTGCTCCAGGTTCCCGGCTCCAGCTTTCTGCTAATGAGGACCCTGGGAGGCAGCAGGTGGTGGCTCTCGTGTTTGGGTTCCTGCACCTGCGTGGGAGACCTCGCATGAGCTCCATTGTTTTCGTCCCTGACTCAGCCCTGGCTGCTGAAGGCTGGTTGGCTGGTGAACCTGTGGATGGGAGATCTCTGCATCTCTGCCTTGCAAGCAAGAGAAAATAAAAAAAAAAAAATTAAAAAGTGGTAATAGTAAAATAATACACACACATTTGGTGTGTAAACATGGTAAAGCACATTTGGTAGTGAAACATGGTAAAGAACATTGCCAGGGTTAAAAGCGCTTGAAAGTGGAGAGAATGGAGTGGGTGGGTGTGATCTGAAGATGGGCAGCTAGCAGAAACCTGTCAGCTCAAACTTCACACTAATCCCCTGTTTGGGCACTTGTGAATGGAGGCCAGAAAGGCTTAAGTCCTTCTCATTGAAGCTTACCTGTGGCTTTGGGAATAGTATCTTTCAAACTCACACAGCACCTTATTTCCTAGTCCTGGTTGTTGAACAAATGTTTTTGGAAGGTTGTACTATTTGTCTGAATTAAGTATGCTGCAGGAGTTTTCAGAATCTGATAGGTAATTTGTCTAGGTTTATGTAAACCCCAGGGTTTAAGTACATGGCCCAGCCACTTCTGAAAGGTGATAAGTCCATTGAGTACCAGGGTATAGGAGATCAAGTTTACTGCCTAATGATGATTAACCTGTTTGTCCTTGACTATGGCAATGAGACTGAATATTTATCTTACATTTTCTATAAGATGGAGAATAGAGCTTTCATTTTGATAATCTGATTTCCAGGAGTTATCGAGATTTTATTGCCACTTGCTTTTAAATAAGTGCCAACAAATATTTGTTCAGCCGGCTTCAGGGTTGGCATTGTAGTATAGTGGGCTAAGCTTTCACCTGTGAGGCCGGTATCCCACGTGGGCCCTGGCTCAAGTCCCAACTGCTTCACTTCTGATTCCTACTAATGCACTTGGGAAAGCAGCAGAGGGAGGCTCAAGTGCCTGAGTGGAGTTCCTGGTTGCTAAGTTCAGTCTGACGTAACCCCAGCTGTTAGATCCACTGGGGAGTGAAACCAGCAGACCATTGATCTCTCTGTCCTCCTTCGTCCCCGCACCTTGGTTTCCCTGCCTTTCACATAAATAATAAATCTTTAAAGCGGGGGGTGAGGTGGAAGTGTTTCAAGATACTGGCTAAGGCTTCTTTAGTCGATAATGATATGTTTCCTGGAAACCAAAGGAAAATATATGTTCAAATATGTAATTATTACATTCCCAGGTTGTGGTGGAGAAATATGAGTGGAATTCTTCCACTAATCCTTCTAGACAAAACAAAGCTGTTGAAACGCTGCCTGTTGAAAGTTGAAGTTTTCTTGCTCTAGCCCCTGCCACAATAAACACTTCCCGACTGTCAGTGAGAAGAATTTTAAGAACTCTAAGCGTGGGAAGCACTTGTAACCATTTTCACAGAATCTGCACTGTAATACCTGAGTGTC